TTACTATGGTCCTCCCAGTCTTTTGTAACAGACAGTTGCATATTTGTTTCTTCCTGGTTCATCTTTTTGCTAAAGTCCTGCTTTTCCTGCAGGAAAAAAAATTCTACTTGGAACTGAGAGGAAAGGCCTTCCCTGTTGCCCTGGGCAAGGTCAGGTCTTTCTCAGCACCTGTGGCACCTGGAACTCCCAATGATGGCAAACTCATCAAGTTGTGGGAATCACTCATTTAATTGTCTCTTCCTCACTGTGAGCTCATGAAGGGTAGGGGTCATGTCTGGATTGTTCAGTACCTGGCACCGAATAGGTGCCCAAAACACAATCACTGAATGATGGTTGGATGGTAGATGTGTGGGTGGGTGGGTGGATGGGTGGATGAATGCATGGATGAACGGGCAGATGGGTGGGCAGGTGGACAGATGGATAGATGGGTGGGTGGCTGGGTGGATGAATGGGGTGGGTGAATGGGTGGATTCCATGGGCATATGAGTGGGTGGATGGATGGATGGATGGATGGGTTGATGGACGGATGGACAGATGAGTGGATGGATGGATGGATGAATGGATGGATGGATGGATGGATGGATAGATGGTTAAAGATCACTGTTCATCTTAACACAGCAGTCATTAAAATCGACATCAGCACATTAACTCATGCCTACTGTTGTGATCACAGATATAATTGCTACTAACGACTTTCATGGCTTGTACTTTCGGAGATGTAATTATCAGTGCCTGTAAGCCACACCGCAGGTAGCAGGGGACAGCTAGAAAACAGCACCTTGGGTTTAGAAAGTCCCTTGTGGTTTACAGAGCACTTTCATTCACATATGGTGCTTCGTTTAAGCATTGTAAGAATCTCATGAGGGAGATTCACCCAGGGAGCAGCAGAGCGTCCTGATCAGGAGTGTATCTTTGGACCCAGACAGACTGGGTTCAAATTCCAGCCGCAGCACTTACTAGCCCCATGAACTTGGGCAATTTACTCCACTTCTCGTAGCCCCAGTTTCCTCATAGAGGGATAACAAGACTACTTGCCCCTTGAAGTGGTTGTATGGATGGAGAATAATCATCACAGCAATGACTGAGTCCTTACCATGTGCTGGCTTAGCTCTAAGTATTTTACATGAAATAACTCATTTAAGTTCTCTAACACCTATGACATAGATCCTATTATTCCCCTCCCCTTTTTGTTAAGATCCTGAAATCAAAATTAATTTGCTTCCCATTCAACTGGGAATGAAGAAGTTAGGATTTGAACCCAGAGGTTGTGGTTTCCAGAGCCCCTACTTTTCACCCCCTGCCGCATACCTAAGACAGATATTCCCATAAAACAGTCGCAGTGCCTGGCACCTAATAAGTGCTCAGTAAATGCTCACTATGTGCCAGCCATGTGGTGTTATTATATGTCAGTGTCTCCAGTTTACAGACGCTGAAACGAAGATCACTAGGTGCCTAGCCCAGGATCAGAGTGGCTCTTCTGCTGCACCAGTAGGTTGGGCAGGCCTGGGGTCATCAGTGTTCACCTGGCTTGGCCTTCACCTAACCACGCTTGTTTATGTGAAAGGACACAGGCCTTGTGGGCTCCAGGTCAGTTCTGAGTGCCTTCAAGTCAGAAGGTCTATGTCTCCTCATCGGAACTCTTGTCCCTAAGAAAGCAAAGCCTGTTCTAGAAGGTTCCCAGTCAGATCACCTCTGCAGTCCTTGTTCCTCCAGCTAGGGGTCCACCTTCCCTGGACTTCTGAGACCGGTCTCTTCTCATGGCTCCAACCACTGACAAGCCTGAAGCCTCCACCCTGGCCTGAAGGGGCCCAACCTCATTCCCTTCCTCTTCCCCTGACAACAGTGCCCCCACACTCCTCACTCTGTCTTTGTCTTCTTGAACTTACGCAAGACACATTTACACCGGGCAAGCAACAGAAAGGGCACTGCTTAACACAGAAGTCCCTGCTCTGTCCCTGTGTGGGCCTGGTGCCCCATCCAGCCCTGTGCAAGGGACGCCCCCTTGCCCGGCTGGCCCTAGGCCGGGTAGGGAGTTATCTTCTAGCAGGGGGAGGGTAGCATCAACCCAATCCCAAATGCCAATACTCTGCTCAGAGAGGTTCAGCATCCTAGACCAGGCCCCCACCAGCCCTTTCTCACAGGGTAGTGGACCAAAGTCCAAGATCTAAGGTGAAAAAGCTCTTCCACTTCCTGACACTTCACCACTGTGTGACCTGGAGCAAATGACTTCACGCCTCTGGGCCTCATTCTCTTTATCTGAAAATGGGTATGTTAGTGTTCACCTCACAGGGTTGTAGAGGCTCAATGAGATATTGTGTATTTGTCTTTTATTCATTCATTTACACATTCAACAATTATTTATTAGACACCTACTAGAAGCCAGGCTCTTTTCTAACTGGAACAGTACGTAAAATGAGCTAGCCCCTGCCCCCCTGGAATTTACCTCGGATGGATGATACTATATACAGAACCCTTAGCTCAGGGCCTTATGCTTTTTTACTTATTTATTTCAATACCTTTGGGGGATGCAAATAGTTTTTGGTCTGGGCTTCAAGAGTGCCCACCACCCCCACCTGTGTACATTGTTCCCAACAGGTGATTATTATGTCCCTCCACCTCACCCTCCCTTTTGAGTCTACAGTGTCCGTTAGACCATTCTCGATGTCTTTCTTAATCAATGGTGGGGGAGGCCAGATGCAGTGGCTCTGGCTTATAATCCCAGCACTTTGGGAGGCCCAGGCAGGAGGATCGCCTGAGTCCAGGAGTTCAAGACCAGTCTTGGCAACATAGTGAGGCCTTGTCTCAAAGTAAGAACAAAAATAAATTAGCCAGATGTAGGGGTACATGCCTGTAGTCCCAGCTACTTGGAAAACTGAGGCAGGAGGATTGCCTCAGCCCAGGAGGTCAAGTCTGTAGTAAGCCATTATTGTGCCACTAGTACTCCAGTCTGGGTGACAGAGTGAGACCCTGCCTCAAAAAATAGAAAGGAAATGATGGAGGAGTCCTGTTGTTGTCTTATGCACAGAAGTCCTTGGCCCCCGCCTCACCTGCTCCTCCCAGGAATACATGGTTGGGGTCAGAATCCATGGGCTCTGTGGGCAGTACATGCTCCATTCACAGCCGAGGAGTATGGACCCTCTCAAGGTGCTGGAGCCAGGATCACCAAGCACATGGTGGCTTTGGTGTCTCATATCTCTCCTTGAGGCATCATGTCCATTTTCTACCTTGCTCCATAAGAGATCTGTTGGTCCCAAGGCAAAAACAATACTTTCCACCACATCCTGGGGTAAAAATGCTTCTTCTGCAAGGGGTAGCAGGCTTCCCCCTGTGGTTCCAGCACCCCCTGCTCCATGGCCAGGAAGCCCCATCCCCCAGGTAGAAACCCGCTGGATTCAAACATGAGTTCCCTGTAAATTGGGAGGTGAGAGTGGGGGCGCAGGGGAAAATGACGATCATTGTCCCCATTTTACAGATGAGAGAACCAAGCATCCAAAAAGTGAAGGGTCTTGCCCAGGCTGTGTTCTTAACGGTGCTCAGCACAGTCCTCCCACCAGCCTGGGCTCTTCAGAGCGAAAGGCGGGAGCACCCCCTAGGGGAGGGGGAAGGAGCCCTGGGCTGGGAGTCCAGAGACCAGCCCCCTCCGTGCTCCCCCCGCTCTCTCACTCTGTGTGGCTTTGGGTAAGTGCCTTTCCCTTTCTAGGGTTCAAGTCCCTCGGTGGGAGAGCAAAATTAACCCTAGAATGCCACCAGCTCTAAAATGTGTGAAAGACAGGAAGGGCCGTGAAGGAGGGAGACAGGGCAGGGGAGTTGGGCCGGGATGGTGGCCCAGCCCACCTTCCTCCCTTGGCCCCTCTCCCTTCACTGTCCTGGGCCCAGGATGACCAGCTGTCCACAGCTGCCGGGAGGGGCCGGTCCCCAAGCCAGGCCCAGCTGAGCTCAGCAGGGGCCCTTTGTCACCCAACGCTTGCCGGGGCCTCGGCCTCCGGTGTTGGGTGTCAGGGCGGATTGGATTCTCTCCTGGCAGTGCCACAGATGCTGCACTCCTGCAAGGGTGGCCAGGCGGGCAGGGAGAAGTCGGAGCTCCCTCTTCCTCTGGGTTCCTGAAAGGGACGCCGGTCGCTGTCCGTGGTGCTGGTCTATGGGGGCGCCCCAGGTGAGGGCTCTGTGGCGGGAGCTCGTGCTGGGAACCAAGCACTGGGCTCCATGAAATTCCGTGAATATGCATGAGCTGCCAGCTCTGGCCAGGCTTAGGGTTTTCCTTGGTGGGGTGGGGGCCGTGGGTGAGGGGCGGGCTCCCTTCGGTCCCCATGCCTGGGAAACCCGAGTGGGGATGGAGTGTGGGAAGAAGCGTGAGTGTCAGTGGGTGAAGGTGGCATGGATGGGGGGTACCATGTGAGGGGTCAGGGGCTGTGTCCTTGGGAGGGTGTCTGCGGTTGCGTGGGTACGGGGCCTGTCACAGGTCGAGGACAGTGAGAGGAGGAGGGAGACAGGGTGTGGGTTGAAGGGACTGTGAGGGAAGAGAGTGAGGATGTGAGCTGTGTGCCTAGAAATGTGATGGTGTGTGCCAATGTGTCGGGGTGCTCAGTGTCCATTAGAGGGGTGTGGAGAGGGGCCATGTATTGGGGTGTGTGTGTGCCTGTGGCAGTGGGCCAGGGCATAAAGGTATGCCCATGGGGGGTTGCGGGCACCTGAGCTATGTGAGCCAGAGGGTGTGTGCTGTGAATTCAGTGTGCTACATGGCACCGCGAACAGTTAGGGGCTGAAGGTGTGTTGCAGAGCTGGTCTCTAGAGTGGCATGGTGTGGAGTGCCCAGGCGGGCGCCTGTACCGTTTGGAATTGCAGTGTGTCCTGGGGTGTTGGGGGTGTTGCCTGAAACACCCGTGTTAAGCTGTGTGTGTAGTCAGTGTTGCCTGGGGTGCTGTGTGTGTGCACACCTGGGGCCTTCCTGAGCACCTTTCCCACGAGGCCTCCCCGTCACCACTCTGTGCTTGTCTCCACAGGAGCCAATGTCCCTGACCATGTAGATGCCAGCTCCGGAGAGCAGCATGGGCCCCGCTGAATGGAGACTCCTGGGTCTACAGCCCTGAGCCCCTCCGGCCCCTGGACCTCACCCCACACCCGGGAACACCCCTCAGAGCTCACCACCGCTGTCACCAGCCCGCCTCGACCGCCCCCACCCCCCGGGATCCGGAGCCGGCTGCCGGGAGCCACAGCCGTCCAGTGAGGCCCTGCCGAGGACAGTCACGGACAGCCGTCGCCCACAGTCTCTCGTCCAGTGCTGACCTCGGGGCCCACCCCGAGCAGGGACTGCAGCAGACATGGGTGACATGACCAACAGCGACTTTTACTCCAAAAACCAAAGAAATGAGCCGAGCCATGGGGGCGAGTTCGGGTGCACCATGGAGGAGCTCCGCTCTCTTATGGAGCTTCGGGGCACCGAGGCTGTGGTCAAGATCAAGGAGACATACGGCGACACCGAAGCCATCTGCCGTCGCCTCAAAACCTCGCCCGTGGAAGGTAGGTTGGGGGCTTGAGCCTGGGACCACCGTCCTAGCGGCCACCGACTGTATTGGCCCCTGGGCCATGCTCGTATATAACAGCAGGTGATGACGGGCACAGGCTGAAACGCCAGAATGGCCCTTCTAGTGCCTTCCAGCTGAGCACCCGCCTTTGTGGAAGACCAGGGAGTGGGGCTGCATCACAGCTTGGAGTCTGACCAAGCCACCTGCAGAGAGAACAGCAGAAAGAGAGCCCATGAGGCTGTGCTAGAGACAAGGCACCCATCGGCCCAAGGGGCAACTCACCACCACCCAGGAGGGAGGGTTCACCCTAGGAATCTGGGAGCTGTCTGGGCTCTGCGGCGGGGGCAGTAGGGACACCAGGGGAGACAGGCACCAGTGTGGGATCACACCTGGCCCAGGATGGGCTCCTGCTCCCCCTACTTAGCCCAAAGTGGTTGGATTCGGGGTTCGAGCCACCCAGGCACTGTCCTCCCCGCCTCTGTGGCCAATCCCAGCTGCCATTCCCTGCTACCAGGTCAGCGTCATGTGTGTCCCTCCCAAATCCAGACTCTGGCTGAGGATTGCTGAGGCTCTGGGGGTGGTCAGAGCTCTGAGGGTCACCTGCGCTCTGGGGTGCCGTAGGGTGCTGGGCAGACAAGGCAGTGGGAAGACAGGCTGTGACGGGAAGGGTGATAGATTCCCTTCCGTGTCCTGCCCTGGGTATGGGAGTGGGCTTTCCTACAACCGCCAAGATGAGCAAACCCTGGAATCTTGAGAGAGGGTTTCAGTTCCAGGGGCTTTTCTGAAGGGGACAGAGGCTGGGTCATCTGCAGCGTAGCTGAGAGGAGGGAAGCCCACCAGCTTGGGCATGGAGCCTGGAGTTTGAGTTGCGGCTGCAAGTGTCCTCGTCCCCCCTTGCCGCAGGGAAGAGTTCCCTACATGGCCCAAGAGGCTCTGCCCGGACGCTCTCTCAACCCTGCAGCTCTGAGCAGAGGCTGCCCGAGCCTCAGTTTCTTTCCCTGGAATATAGGACAGTACCTACCTGACGGTGCCTAGCGCAAGGCTGGGCATACAGCAGGTGTTCCATAAGCAGCAGCCGTGATTATACTAAGGAAAAACAGATGCTGGTTGCTTCCCTGGGTGTAGACACACTTGGGAGCCAGGTGGCCTCTGGCTTGTTATCCCCACATGACACAGGGGACATCTGCCTGCCCCGTTCCGTCCTTGTGCCCTGGCGCTGCTAGACTCCAGCCCTGAGCACGTTTCCACCAGAGGCTGCCAGGGCCCACCGGAAAATTAAGGGTCACATGTGCTGCTCCCCACTGTGTCTGGCACCCCGGGGTGTGCGCGTCCCTCTCAGCCCGCTCTCCTGTGTCAAGAGGAAAGGCTCCAACTGGTTCCTCTTCCCACACTGGTTTTTTGCCTACGGTCTGGGCCCAGGCAGAAGTGTCAAAACACCTTCTCTCCGTGCTGTTGGCTTTGTTTGGACAGGGAGGGTGGGACCAGAGGGAGCAGCCTTGCTCACCGTGTGACTCCAACTGGGAGCTGTGGCTCTAGGGTGGGCACAGGCCCTGCCTAGGGACTTTAGGGTCCCAGCCTCATGTGGTCACCCATTCCTGGCAGACGGGTCCATGCTTCCCTCCACTGTCAGGTTGGCACATCAGGTTTGCTAGGAAGCAGGACTGCCCGAGTGGCCTATGCCTTTTGACTGAGGACAAGGAGAGTCCCTTGAGAATTCTTCAATGTCTCTGGGCCCTGACCCTGGGGAGAACCTGATGGAAGCTGTGGTCCCCCTCCCCAAGAAAAGCAGCCTGCCACATGCAACAGAAGTGGCTCCCATTGTCAGTGGGTTTCCAGGCCCCTGGAAGCTGGGCCGGGGAGCCCAGGTCAAAAAAGCCACCCTCACTCCCACCAGAAAACTTCAGCACAGCCAGCATCTGCAGGGCCACTGCCAGTGGTCCCTGGGTCACCCCTCTGTACTACCCAGGGCATGTGTGCCTACCTGAGGGCGGGAGACTTGTCTGCTCTCTCTGTACATCCTAGTCCAGTCTGGTGCCTGGCACAGAGGGGGTCCAGGAAAACCCTGAGATGTGATCACTGAGTCCCCAGCCCACAGAGAGCAGCTCTTGGGCAGCTGAGCAGCCCAGACAGTGGTTATTCAAGACCAAGTTCAGTAAGGGCCCCAAGACTCACCGAAGTGGTGGAGTAGGTGGGCAGTGAAGGTCAGGGATGGCTTCCTGGAGGAGGAGGCCTTTGGACTTGGGTATGGAAGAAGGAAAAGGAAGCATGTGGCATGGCCTAGAGCAGTGCCTTTTAGTGGAAAAGTATGAAAAGTAAAGGACTCTGTTTTTTTCACCTGTAAAATGGAAATAAGGATCACAGTTCTGACCCTTGCTCCGCCGCCTCTGGGCCTTTCGTCTGGCCTCTCTGGGTTTTGGTTTCCTAGCTTTTCAGAGGACCAAGGGAGATCCTTGATGAAAAGATCTCTGAGGGGAGAAAAGCCCATCTTGGGACTCCCTGGAGCTCTTGCCTCAGTGGATCCTGGCAGGACCTCCCAGGTGCTGGAAGAGGCAGGGCTAGAAGAGATCTGAGGAGGGGCAGAGGAGCGTAATGCTGCAGATCAGACTTGATGACCTGGGTTCAAATCCCAGCTCTGCCACTTATGGGCTGTGGGACTCTGGACAAGGGACTCAACCTCTGTGCCTCTGTTTCCCTATCTGGAGATGGGGGGTAATAACGGTGACTACTTCATAGGGCTATGGTGAGGACAACATGAAGCTCCTGACCGTGAGTAGTTCTGTGTTAGGATTCAACCCCAGGGACTAAACCCCTCCGTCTCCCCATCAATACAATGGGTTGGGAGTACTGAATAAGGCCGGGCCAAGCGTCCAGCATCAGAGTGCTCAATAAATGTCAGCTCTTGCTGTTGTGTTTCAGTATGAGTGTCATTACTCAGGAAGAATTAGTCGCCTTCTCCAGAAAGGGGGCGCGTGACTCTTCCGGGTCCTTGGCCAGGGTCCACATGCCGGGAGCCCTTTCTGTGGTCGGTTATGCACCCTTGTTCCACGCATCCCTGGAAGCAGGTGTTGTTGGCCCATTTTACAGATGGGGGTATGAGGGCTCGAGGTCACGGTGCATGTCAGAGCAGGCTAAGCCCCAGGCCAGGCATGCCGCCTAGGGACAGTCCTCTGAAGTGTCCACTGCTGGACAAGGCCTAAGTCAGGTGGGGCCACCAGGACACTGTCTTCGGCTCTCTTGTGCTTAGCATTTGTCCTTCCCTCTCGGCCCCCAGCTCCAGTCCCCAGTTTCCAGTGTAAGGGCTGCACGGTCTGGGCTGTACCGGCTCCAGAGAGGGCTCAGGCCAGCCATTCTGGACACCCCTGCCCCAATCTGCTGACGTGAGCAGGAACTGGCCTGAGTCACGCAGCAGGAAGCGCTCCGTGCCATACATAAATTAGCCTCCCCGTGCATGTCCAGCTAATTTTAGGCAAAAAGATCCCTGCAAGTGATAAATGGGGCTTGAGGCCACAAGGGCTCAACTCCCACCCGGGGCTCCGCCTGCCACCAGCACAGGGTATGGGCTCAGCTCCCCCCAGCCAGCAGTGCGACCCCTGTTGGGTAAACCTTCTGTGAGGCCATCCCCGCCATCTGGGCTCCCTCCCGCTCCCCTTCCATTGTTGGTTCTGTTCTGCTCCGATGAATGCCCTTCCCTTCTCGCCTCCAATGCTCCCTTTCCTTCTGCACCCTTCCAGCCTAGGGCAGGAGTCCCAGAGACCTGGGTTCAAACCCTGGATGGCCCTTTTGGCAGACACTGGGAGAGTTCACCGTAAGCCCTCTGAGCCTCAGTTGACCTATCTGTGCGACAAGTGGAATACCAGGACCTACCTCATGGGGTGAGGTTCAAGTCAGATAAGCCACAGCACAAAGCAGCCCCTAGACACTTGCCAGGTGATCTTCATTACCGTGGTGGTTGCAATACCCAAGCGTTTCTTTTCTTTTTTTTTTTTTAATTTCTTTTGAGTCAGGGTCTCACCCTGTCCTGAAGTGCAGCAGCATGGTCATGGCTCACCACAGCCTCGACCTGCTGGGCTCAGGCAATCCTTCCGCCTCAACCTTTCAAGTAGCTGGGACGACAGGCAGACGCCGCCATGTCCAGCTAATTTTTTGATTTTTTTTGTGGAGATGAGGTCTCGTTGTGTTGCCTAGGCTAATCTCAAACTCCTGGGCTCAAGCAACCCTCCTCTCCTGGCCTCCCAAAGTGCTGGAATTACAGGCGCGAGCTACTGCACCCGGCTGACAAGCGTTTCTTTTAAAAAACAGCATGTGTGGCCCCAGCCCCATGAAAAAATTAGGCGATCAGATAAGATGGCCATGGTGCCTGTGAAGAGTGACCATGCCACCAGAGGAGGCGGAAAGATGGGTTCCGGTGTCGGGTGATTCGGGGGCCTGGAGGCAGGAGCTCTGTGTCATGTTCCACCGTGTCCCAGCCCTTGGTGCAGTGCCTGCGGGCTCAAGAAATATCCTTGGAAAGAAGGAGTGGAGGGAGAACGAGGGGCAGGGACACCCTGATGCTCCTCCCTGCGTGGGACAGAGGGCTGCAGACGGACACAGGACACCCGGTGTCACCCGGGGGGCAGCTGGCTCCAGTTCCCCGAGCCCAGCGTGGCACTGCCCTGAATCTCAGCAGGTGCTGCCCTCGGCCCTGCGTCCCCACACCCACACCCGGCTGTCAGAAAGGGTGACGTGGACAGATCTCTGCCGGGTGTTTGCCACGTAGCGCGTTTTTTGGCGGGGGGCGGGGGGAGATGGGGGACAAAGATGGGGCAGCAGCAGGGGCGGGGCAGGAACCGGATACCACGGGGTGTCGTGAAACGGAACCTCCAGTTAATTTTCCATGAACCCCACAGCCTGCCTGACGGGAGGAGAGAGCAGAGCTGAGGGTGGGCAGGGGAGCAGACCACGAGGGTGGCAGGCGCTTCGTGTGCACGTAAACATGCGTGGGGCAGACTGGGCAGG